ACTTTGTACATATCTAAAGGATTACAATAAGAAAACAAATTCAAATTTATTGACACATAAAACCCACAAATTGTATCCCCGAAAATAAAACGTATTCTCTTCGACCTTTCGCTGCCATGTGCTGCTATAACTTTTATTGCCGTCCAATCAACTGCATTCACGTAATCAGTAAATATTAAATATAAAATCTCCCAAAATGAAATCGGAAGCAACTGTAACTCAATTTTTTGTTCTCACCGTGCATTTTACAATGTTGTCGGCGCGCTCGTTTGCCATCAGTTATCGAACTATTAACCCCAATAAGAAATTGCTAGTTATACGCCATAAATAAATAGACAATTACCGTGCACCCTGTTTTTTCACCACAACAAGCCAGGCGGCGCTTTGTGCTTCTGGTGTAGCTTTCTAAACGGTTCTTCCCCGCGGTGGTGAGTGCATCATACAGCCCCGTTATTTTATGAAATCTTTTGGTAAACGGTAACATGTTATTACCTCCACCAGCAGGCGGAGAAACCCTTTTGCATCCGTTTGAATATCCGCATTGATTTTCGTTGATTTTTTCTTTTCTTTTGACACCATAAACAGCATTTATTGAAGGATATTATAATATAGCTTTAAAGTTGTTCATAGACACTTCAAATATTATTTTAATAGTTAAACACATTTGATGCGGTCAACTTATTTAACGCCAATTTATTTTATTTAGCAAAAACAAATAAAACAATAGTAGATCACTGGATGAGTACCCAAGTTTCATTAGAGAAGTAGGTAGTTCTACGTGTATTAAATTAATGTAATAAACTTTGAAGATAATTTTTCAACATTTTCTTATCCACGAGGCATCTCTTCATCTGCCTAAGTACAAAGCTAATCATAAGTGATGTGTCTATTAATGCTTAAATGGCATAGGTTTAGTTACCGACCATTCTAATACATCTTAGAAAAGTCATTACCACAATGAATGATGCCTACCTCCGATAAACTCGTTTCATCGTCTCAATTCCGTTCGTACAACGCCATTACTGCAAGAATGCTAGAAATACAAAGTTGAAATGACTACTCGTATGTCGAATATTACTGTACGTCAATTTTTAATTTACAATAACTATGAGTAATTTTAAACTAGTAAAACTCCTAGGTTTATTTTAAAGTTTAGTTTATTGCGGTTTTCCCAAAAGTCGCCAGGAGACGTTTTAACTCCAGTGGCTTTTTACAAAATGCGAACACCAAGATTTATTACACCTGTTGGGAGGCAATTGTGCTCGCATTAACTTCGGTCTACCTTAAATTGGCCGCAAATTGCTACAACTTCCACCTTCGCTGGGCTGGCAGGGGGTGTATTACAATACCACAAATATTGTATATTGCTACCTTTTAAGTCTATAGAAAACGTTGTGTGCATTGTACGCCAATTTGCAATTTCTACGTAGGTGGGTGTAGTGTTGATTTTTTTAAGGTGCAATAAATTTACATTGTGATATACGATGTGAAATAAAGCAGGCGGGTGTTTAAGGCGATGACGTAGGTCGCAGAACAATATAAATTGTCAATTGGCTGCAAGATCTTTAATTGAGTTATCAATCAAATTCATCATAACGAAAATAAACAAGTAAAAGAGCATATTGTTGCCGCCAAGAAAATGCACACGATGAAAAAAAAACCTCCTCCTGGTTAACTCCAACATCGTTCCGCGTTGTTTCTGGTTGCCGCGTTCGAATTTAACGGCATGTCCGGGTAGCCGAAACGAAATTAAAGCGTACGATGCAATAAAACCCGGTCCGGAGCCGGAGCCGAAAAGTGCAAACGAGTGCAAACAAGGGCCGCACGGTTTGACACGCACAACGCAAATATTTTGGCCTCCGGCACAATAAACGCACCAAAGAGCAGAGTCCTGATTCGACACGGACGCTTCTTAAACAGCTCGCGGCGTTCAAGCCCACAGCACCGGTACCTCTTCTCCTCCAAGAAGAATGAGTGCAAGAAGCCAAGTAGCAGGTAGCACCATAAAACAATATAACACTAGGGACGATAGTGACGATAAAATAAGCTAAAAGTGGTGACAAGTGCGGAAATCAATGCAGAGAGCAATAAATCGCAAAGGTGAGGTGGGTTTTGCAATGCGGTCGAATGATCAACCACCGTACAAAATTGGCATGTCCGAGATGCGAGACCAAAGGTAAAATGTCGATTGGACAACAAATTGGACACACGAAGGTGTGCAACAATGCAATCTGCAACCAAACAAACAAACAATCCCACTCGTAGGGCGGTTAACCAAGCAAGTCAAACATGATTCAAATATTCAACTATTTTGTTACACTGCTACACCGTGTTTGTATGTTTTGCATGTGTATAGCTCATACACATTGATGAATACGCTTTGATGAGTTTACTTTTACTCGTGCTCCGAATTATATTGTTGTTACAACAATTAAATAATTAGTGGAAGCTCCGATTTCACTCGTCCATCTATTGGCAGTGTGTAGCTCTATGGTTGTAGTGCGGTGCTGCGGTTTTCGTTCGCGCAGCGTGCGCCCGACGCCGATTTTTTAATTAGATTAAATGCGCGGCACGCTAGATTCGTGGCACGCGAACACCGCGCCGCCACTGATGCACACGCGCATCCCATCCGTGAAAGAAAAGAAACTTGCGCTTTTGCAAGCGCCAGCGAATGCATGCATAGCGTAAACAAATTTCGTAAACGATTCGCGTACAGCGCGCTACTCATGAATGCCTGCGCATCCACCATCGACGAGGTGCATGCGCGTTAGACCAATCGCCAGCATTTTTCTTAATTATAATCGAATCAGTCTTCGGTATTAATATAACGTGCGTGTTAATATACACATTACGTTAATTTATTACCAATTGATTTTTGGATTTATATTATACAGGTTGAAAATTGTGTCCAAAGTTAAAGACTATTTTGAAAATTTGCAATTTTTTTTTAATTTGATCTTATAATAAACAAAATATTAATAATTTGGGTTGTACAATCAAATATCCGTAAAAATGTTCTAAAAATTATTATTTTCTTGTGTTTTAATTATTTTTGAATATTTTTTCATATAGGATAATAGATATTGATAGGTATATAAAACTAAGTCGTGTTAGTTGCAACCTTTGGATTTGTTTTTGCCTAGAATAAGCGAATAACTTATAAAATATTAAAAATGAATGCTTAAAGTAATATTTAAATCTAAAATTCGTTAAAAGGCTTTTTTTGAATTTTTCATTTCTTCAAAATAAAACTGCAATCCTTATTGAATTGGCAAATATCCTATTTTGAACAAGAAAATAAACATTAATTACATTTTTACAAAAAAAAACTTGGGTACGCAGTTGTGGGCAAAAGCTAATTTCTCATATTATAGAAAAATATGAAACACTCAGTAAATTAGTGCGTACCTAGTTATGTTAAAAAATAATTTGTGCATCCAATTTGTAAATATGTATCTTTACACGTTTATTTACACGCGCGCTGATCACTAGCATGGTTGCAACAATAAATTGTAAAATATTCGTGCATGAATGCATTTTTCTTCAATTTCGACACACGAAATTGTATCAACGCCGTGACGCAATCAAAGAAACACGATGAAAAACAACCGCTCTGAAAAATGTGCATAAATTGATTTAAATTTCTTCACTGCGCTGAGCATTGCATTTTTCTTCAACTTTTTTCGCATGCGCTTTACAGAAGCACTTGATGTTTGGCGCTTGAAACCTGCTGTTGGTTGATGTTTGGCTTGGATCGGTCGTAAATGTCGCGATTTCTTTATTAGGCCGAGTGCGCGACTCGTAGAAAGCGCTCGCGGTGTGTATTTTATGCTGCGCGGCCAGTGATGCCCGGTGAAAGAAGTTTACGTTTCGTTTAGGTTCGCGTAGTTTGTGTTTATGCGTTTACATTTCTATATGTTGGTTTGTTCGTGTGTAGGAAGGTGTGCGCGCGGCGTACGAGACTGTGCTGCGAACGAACGGCGAACGGCGACGGGGCGACGTCCTTGCAAGGCCGCGGGACTTCCTAGATTGCAACACATTTCTCTCGATATAATTTCATTCTTATAAATGTATTCAGTTGAAAACACTTGCACCTAACTTGTTAGAAAATTGAGATAAAATTGTGCAAAAACAGCAAATTTCTGCAGATTTTTATTTTTTACTTCAAAATATTTTTGAATTAATATAAATTTATAAAAAAAAATTGATAAACATAAACGACAAGTCATCGTGGTTATTTTAGTTTTAATGAAAAAAAAAACCACTTGTCGCAATATTTTAAAGCTTCTTCATAATATTACTTAATGTTGGATAAAATTCGACAATTTTTGTTAAGATTTGCATGCACTTTGCAATATTACGTAATCCAGGATTAACTTCCAAACGACCCAGCATTAAAGTCACTGACGCCTGTCGTCTGACTAAGTATTAAAGTGTCTAGAGATCTCAACGAGGGAGGAAACGACGAACCCTCACCAAATTATGCAAATATTAAACCGATGCGCCAGATTGTCTGCTTGCAAACATATACTTCGACTAAATTGATTTTTGACAATTAAACAAAACCTTAATAGAATATTTCACTTGAAAATTTCCCGGCAAATTTCAGCTCCGCCGGCGCTCACCATCCGTAACCCATCGCTATAATTCGACTCATTGACATAAATCAAGAACAACGCGGTGCGCACACACGAAATCGTCAGATTTTTCGGCGGCTTCGCGATGCGGGGGCTCCCTCCTTCCAATCGCGCGGACACCGCCGGCTCCGGCCATAACTAGGTTAACACCGCCGAGCACGCGGCCGCCAAGTAGGTATAGAGGTGCCGCGCCGAAGAGAATCTACGACAGGTACAGTTATATATCCCCACCAAGAGGCGAAGACGCGCACCGCTCGCACCTCGCACACGCACACACCGAAATTTTCTGGTGAGGGCATTCCGTCCGCCGAGGAGGCCCCCGAACGGTCGCGCTGCCCAGTATTGCCGATTCCGTCCGCACGGTCGCGTCTTCTTCGCACGGCTCCACGTTCTCCGTGCGCGCAATTCTCGGGGTCGCATCCCCCGCGTAAACCCGCGCCAACCAATGGATTAAAACAAACCATCATCCTTACATACAACTTAAACAAGTGCAAATTTTTCACACCCACACACAACTGTAAAGTTCCGGTATAGTGTTCTAGTTCCGGTTACAGAAAATCAAACAAACAAAAAAAAACAGAAAAAAAGTTGGAACTTTGTTTTTGCAAGCCAGTAAACTTTTATCAAGTGCGTGCGCCGAGTGATGCGTGCCGCAAGGAAGTCATCGCGAGGGACAAAACCGAAACGGTGACCGACTTTTTTTGCGCTCCAAAAAAGAAACCACCATCTCGCGAGTGCAAAGCTCGAGAACTAAGTGTGCACAAAACCCACATACAAATTGGATTTATTTTCGAAGTTTTTTTTTTACCTTATTTCCAAGGATCCCGCAACAGGACACGCACGTAGCAGTGGGCATACAAGACGTGAGTAACCCACACGGGCATAGTATACAACCACAAGGTGCCGGGGCGATGCGCCTTCCGTAAACGCACCGTAAACTACCTTGACCGTGCATGTCGCGGGAAGAATGAACTCTCGTCAAGCGCGCGCTCAGTGAGATTTCCACAAGGACAATGACCTAAATATAATCAGTACCTATAACCAAAAAAAACATACTTAAATTATATTAACAAGTAAATTTTGCAAAAAATAATTTTTTATTTTTTTGGATATTATTTGATGACTCAGAGAATGCGCCCCCAAAAAAACTAGCGCCGAATCTGGGTCGAATCTGTATGCTCGTCCATTGTAGCCGGCGCGCTCTCATTGTAGGTAAATGCGGCTGTTTGATTTATGCACATACATTCCACGCAAGCAGGTTAGAGGTAAACATGACTTGAATATGATTCAATCAACGCGTATCCCTTTAAATTTAATTCGTAATCATCTGAAATTTGCTATAAATTTAAACTTATTGCGCCAAAGATAAATTTCCCAAGTTATGCAAGTCGAATGAATCATTTCTTCGTCACTGACTGTTTCGCTGTCACCAGATTAGGCAACTATTAGCAGAATTAATCAACGTCCTCGTGATAGTTAGATATTCTTCGTTGTGTAGCTGCTTGCATGTTTGCATATCCGTGTTTCGATTTTCACGTCGATGGCTTCCTTGTTCTCTTGTCAAGATGCGCTGCTCGAAGAGATGAGACACACACACGGGGCCTCCGAACCCGGAGTCAGCCGCACACTGACACGCCGCTGCGGCCCCGCCGTGGGGGGCTATGTAGTACACTGACCTACTTTGCTAGCGACGCGCGGCGCGCAGCATACTTGATTCGGCTTTATGGCGAGAGAACCAGCAAGAGCCAAGAACCCACCTCAGCTTCAATCCGAAGCCATACGAAGAGCTCTCTTTGGGATGATGGCTCACGCACGGCACGTACTGCTGCTGCGTTCACGTAATGAACGAAATCAACGAATTTTTATTGCTTAACCAGCTACCTAGGATACCCACATTTAATGCGCGGCTGTAAACTGTACCAACCAGAAAATGTTAACATATTTCAAGATACCAGGTGCAGAGATAAAGTTCATTGTTCTTTGACTTCTTCTCGATGGAATTAATTTACAAACAATGCGCCTGGGACACATTTTAAGACGACACACCTCTTTCGGATACTCGGTGATGTTGTGGCTTGTTTGATAATGCAAATTGACATGATCTATGCCCAGCCTACGATATCTGTAGCAGTGTCTACAGCTTGGCGCAAAGGTGTCACGCCAAAAAAACCGTTAAAGCGTTTTTCAATCGCGAGGTGGGCATCCGATTAGCATACGCTGGAGACGCCGCACGCCTCCACCGGTCGCGCGCGCGCATCATCTAGCAATGTGGAACGAATAACTGTTCGCCGTGCGCGCAATAAGGGCCTGTCAATATTATCCACCCGCATCCGACACTGCTCCACATTGATAAGACGTCCAGTCGCGTGATTTCTATTCTCAGACACGTTGATGCACGCACGTTGGCTTCCCCACTCTTGGTCACTTGTGTGTATAGTGTTTGGAACACACTAGATTCCACTAGGACACTTTCTCTTGGACTCGACATTTTGCATCGTCCACAAATTTACTTTTTGCGCATCACACAATAATATTCCTAACCTTACTAAATTCTTAGTGCAAAACATGTAGTAGATTAGTACAGAGGGCGCTGGAGTAGGTTGTGCAGTGTAGAGATACGATATGGTGTTTTAAAACAATGTCCGTTTGAGGTTTACGTTCGATTGAGATAACATTGCAATGAATACCAACGGCAGCGAGATAAACACGTGAAATAAAAAAAAAAACAGCGCGTTAATTATGTTTGTAGGTCAGTGCGCGAGTCTTCTATCCATGTACGATGTACTGATGTACTATGCGAGCGCACAATAGCGGAATAGCCATTGCGATCCGGTGCGTGCGCCATCGCGCCATTATAAAAAAAAATGAAATTCACTTTCCGTCGCGCCGCGCGCTTTGCCGTGCTAACGGAATCTATTTCGCTAGGAGAGTACAAACACACTCACCGCTTATACGTTGGTATATTTGAAGCAAGCCAGCGCAAAGAGATGTGCCGGTGACGCACCGTATACCGCTATACTTACTGCCTGATGCTGGCTGCGGCTGCGTCGATCAGACCATCATCATCGCGTACATTGTGGCACATTGTGGAACACGAAATCCGCGTGGGTCCGTGCGGAAGTGTGTTAGCAGTATCAGGATCTCGGAGCTCGCGCGTACGAATCTGCGCCAGTGCGCCGGTAACGGTATTCGTACACTTATTCACTTCCACTGCCAGCGAGTGCCTAATTACGATTGTCCTCCACGGGGCTTTTGTTCGTCGGCGCGTTCGTTCTTTAATGGTCCGCGTGCGTTATTAGCCTTTTTTTCAGTTTCCATGCGAAACTGAACTGAACCGCTTGGGCGCTTTCACTGTCGAGATTCACTTGTCGATGTTGCCATTTGACAAATTGAATAGAGCTAAAATGTAAATTGGGTTGCATATTTTTTGGGGTGCAAATTATTTAGATCATTTAAAATTTAAAAAGAATTCAGAAGAGATATAGATTGCATTTCAAAAACAAGGAAACTTTACTGATTTACTGAATATACTGATATTTTAAGAATATATTTGATTTTATGCTGGAATGTTTAAATATTTGATTTTTTAATTATTTGAAGATAGATAGAAACAAATACAAACAGAAATATTGATGTATGTTTTGTTAGTTAAATAAATATTAACAAACTTTACCATTTACAAGTAGGTTATTATTTATTGTAGTATATAATGAGGAGCGCAAGTGGAGCAGATGGTAAACTATTGTTTTGTTGATTAAGAATCAAGTGTAGTATTCTACTTACACATAATATGGTAAAAATGAGTCAAAATATGCTCTACTAGTCTTCAATTATTATATTAATATAATTGTCCTTGTGGAAACTGATCTGAACTGAAATTTATGTGAGAAAAGCGTCTAAGTAGATTTTTTAAAAACCTATTACCAAAATGGTGGGTGCTTGGAAATATTTGTAAATATGTATATATCCGTATCTAATAGGCTGCCCTGGCCAAAATTTCAAAGCCCTGAATTGCCCTCACGCCTGCAGGATGACGCCGGCGAGGATGTAACGAAGGCCGCCGACGCACCACGACGCCCTCCAGCAAGCAGCCTCGCATCCCCGCGCCCCAATCGGCCCATTCACAGGTGTGCCGCGGCTGGCGCACCGGTTGATGGAAACGATGAAGTACCCGAACGTCTCCGGCGGCAGCCAAATGGCGGTGAGCGGCCCGAACGGCGCGCACGGCGTCGACGAGGTGGACTCGCTGTTCGCGTCGGCGTGCTGGCAGAACGCCGCCGCCGACTATATGGACCACAAGATCATTCTCGACGGCACCATCGGCGCGGCGTTGCAGGACGCCGACGGTGAAATCGCCGCCACCAAGGCAACAATGGACGCGCTGGACAATCTATTGTTATCCCAACAGCCTCTGAACACCAGCCTCGCCGAGTTGAAACCGCTGCCGCCTTTTGCCGGCTACACCGCCAATCTTAGCATCAACGGCATCCAAGGCCATCATTATCATGCAATCGCACATCGCCAGCCCGAGGAGAACAACAACACATACAGTAACTACCAGGAACAGAACATTGTTTCCAGTTCAACGTGCAATGCAAGTGCAGATTCAGCAACAGACGTTTCTAACGCTAACAAATCTTTATATTCTGTTGATGAGGTGGTGAAGTTAGGATACGCCGATTGTGGTGTTAATCCTGATGCGGTCGTGTCCAGCGCAAAGATGTACGACGATTGTGGGCATCACAACAGTGCTGATTCAGCCGCGACCATCAAAAGCGAAATAGCAGAATATGACATTTCATCAATTGAAGACATCGCCGCCATTATTGGTTCGGCAATAGCGGATACAACAGTCCCCAACACACAACCTGAAGAAGACCAAGCGGGTTCCAGAGATAGTTGGATGGATCTGGATGCGTGGATAGATGGCGCCTGTGTAGACCAACAAAAAAGTCTCATCATAACCCAAGATGGTCTTTCCGAGTTTGTGATACCCAGCGGTAATGATTTCAAGTCACCGGAATACACCAAACTCCCTCCGCAACAACAACCCCAACATCAACAACAGCCCACGAGTGGGTCCACACTACAAAGTCTCCTCACGCATGGCTATATGCCATTGCTACAGAGTCGTTTACAAAATGGTCCACCGCCTAGCATAAAACAAGAGGTGCCCAGCTCAAGCAGTTATGGCAATGAGTTGATATCCACATCTAGTCCACCGTCAAATGTCGTCTCCACCACGGATAATCTCATGCTCACCGTCAACGGGCGTTTTTTGCCCCAGTACGGCGTGCATGGTGGCGGGGGTGGCATTGACGACCGGATACGCAGTCCTGATATGCTCGGCCAGAACTACCCGCACACGACCACCACCTCCACACCTTCAGCGACGAAGAAGTCACGCAGTCGCGCGCAGAAGAAACAACCGCCCACGCCACAACAACAACAACAACAACAACAGGCTCAGCAACAGCAGCAACAACAAGCAGCCACATCGACGGTATTCGCCAGCGAGCAGAGTCTTGGTCTGCTCGGTAAAGAGAAACCCGTCCATCGGTGCAACATCTGTAATCGCGGCTTCCTCAACAAGAGCAACATCAAGGTGCATCTGCGGACGCACACCGGCGAGAAGCCGTTCCGCTGTGATACGTGCGCGAAGGCCTTCCGCCAGAAGGCGCACTTGCTGAAGCACCAGCAGATTCACAAACGCATCGGAAGGGACTGATCGGCCCTTCTTCGTGCTATAAGGAAAGGTACCTCAATTGTGTATAATTAGAGTTATGTAGAATTCCTATTTAAATACTTGTGGACGATGTGCAATCAAATCTTACGTATCCAGACACAACACCCCCCGCAGCTCTCGCGAACAACGAATCTATCTAGCTCGTAATTCAACCCCGTGTGCATCAGGGGGTCGCCACGATGAGTCACTTCTAATATTTATCACTCCTTTCGCAATTTGTACATAGCGCACCCAACTTAATACGTTAATTGTTTTGTAAATTTAAACGATTGGCACGACACTCACACACACACAAAAACAACCTCAGGTTAGTCAAACGAAAGCAAGGCGCAAAGTGCAACAGAGAGAGAGAGTTTCTTTTTGATGTGATAAACATGCTTAATATTTAAGTGTAAAAATCTGTACAATTCTAACCCTCAACGACCGTCCAGTCTTTTTTTAACAGCCGCGAACACTACCTACTCACACACCGTGTACAAACTAAACGTTTACAATTGCCACGTACTCATACGAGATGGCGTCGCGCCTCGCCGATTGAAATTCATTAATGCAAATTTGATCTCAAATCAATCAATCGCGTGACGACGGCCACAAACGTAAGGAAGATGAAGAGAACAGGCCCGTACTATGCGCCTCAACGTATTGTTTTTTATTGCCAAGCTTCTCTCTGTCCCCCCCACACAATATATATTTTATTTACGCGTTCTGTACATAACCTCTTCTCGCCCGGTCCTTCGTCCCTCAGAAATTTCTATTCGGAAAAAGCGAGCGTGTTTAAATGATGTATAAATAAATCGTGTGATACCATTGTAGATAGTAGCGTGAACCTATTTCGTTTGTAAGATATTTACGGTTTCTTCTCTGCAAAATTCTCCTGCACGAAACACGACAGACTCTACTCTACTCTTTGTTTTTAATCAAATGTTATTTATTGATGAAACGACGAACGACGATTTTTTGTAAATAGCAACTTACTTTTAGGTAATTTATTCTTATAAACGTAAACGTTAAGCGCAAATAAAAAATGTATGAATATATTCTATATGAAGAGAAATGGCATAATGCTGATGGCAAAAGAGACACGCGTATTGTTAGTTATTTTTTGTAACAAATCTCTTTTCGTAGATAGGATTTCTAAGCTTATTTTTGCATATATTAGTTAAATGTATTACGATTGTTATAATTTTATTTGTTGATTATTAATTAATGATGTCAATCGATGTTGTATTATAAACACCATTATTTTTAATACGAAATGCGACAGCAATTTTCTTTTTACATTAACGTAGATTTCACTACAAATTAATCACTAACCATAAATGAATTATTCATTATTTGCTTTTTTTTTTCAGTAATTTGGTGAAGTGAGGTTAAATTAGAAAAATCTAACCTCTCCTTTTTCTTGCATCGGGTAATTATGTAAACGATACTAATCTTGAGTTGATTGACGGCTATATATTTATGATTTATTACTCGTGAGCGCTGAATGTCTTGCAATTAATTTTATATTCTTGGTTGTTTTCCCTCCCATTTCACATTTTGCATTCTTCGTGTTTAATCACTGTTGAAAAACAATATATGTTCATGCTAATTTGTTTGCAGGCACTTTGACTAATTCGAAACTATTCGCTGTCATAAATTCCACCATTTGTGTCACAAAAATTACAGCTAATTAATTTCGATGCAAATTAAAAGTTAAAAGCAATTTTCCGTAAGTATCCGTCGGTGTATCTCGTCGGCGTCTTGTTAGTTACAGTTTTGATTCGAAATTCGAGAAGTAGAAATTACCCATCAATTAGAAACATGCGGCTTTCCGAATTAATTAATTAATCAAATGTTAATTGGGCGCGCCGCACACTGATTTCACTCATGAGACGTTTATTAAAGATGCAAATCGCCGCGACGTGATAGGAAGTGAACAATTTGTACGATTTCGGTTTTGTGGGATTACGAAGAGATCAAGAGGAAGCTGCGGCCGGGCCACGCCGAAAAAGACGCAGCGGAGACCTTTAACATTTGGCGCGCAAGCAGCGTGCGCGCGCGTGATGTTATCGTTTCCACGTCCTCGATCCGCGCCGCAGCCGTCGCCGCCGTCGTCGTCGTCGATCTCGACCCTCTTTCGCGGCAGACGCGCCGCGATGCGATGTGTGTCGCGTTCTACTTCCGCGGTGCCGAAGTGAGAATATCTATTGCGCGCGGTGTTTATCGCCGTCGAAATCAAACATGTTCGGAAATCGCAAAATGGCCGCCCGACCGCTGCCATTTGCGCATCGCATTGTGCGAATTGTGCACAATCGCGGCCATTTCAACCATTGACACAAAAACAAAATGGCTGCCACAGGTGTCTTATTTTCTTTTGAATTGTAGATGAATGGTAATTCTAAAAATGGCCGCCATAATTGATACTATGACATTGAAATAATATTCATGATGGCGACCACTTTTTCTACAGTTTCCATGTCACAATATGCACTGGTATTCTGTTTGTTCTCTAGGGAATGTCGATCGGATCGCCGCCCGATGGGAAGAAGGCCACCTAATAATCGACAAACAGCGCGCACTGGCAATTAGCGATTTCGTCGTGCGTTCGCGCTTCGACAGGGAAACAAAAGTGAATTGCGAACCGTTAGGCATTGTCTTCGCGAGCGCGCTAATCAGGTTGCGAACCGAATTCGTCGCTCGGCAAACAAAGCGGCGGACCGCATCAAGAAACACCCAGTATAAATTAACATTAATGCATTCGTCGATTTGCAAAACGCCACACGGTGCGCCAAAAACGAAAGAAAGAAGCCATTCGCAATCGCAATATTTATATAAACTTTCTTTCGCGCCGGTTTGTCGTCGCGGCGGTTTTGTACGTCGCGCTACCACGTCGTTGACCCACTTGTAGAACCGGCCGCGAAATTTCTTCGTGCCGCTTCTTCTTCTCGTACGCGCGCTGCGGCGCAAGACGTCGTCGTCGTCCGTCTAGCTTCGCCTTGCCTCCGCGCCGAGTCAAGTTTAATGCCAAGTTGAAATGTCATCGTCGTGTGTTTATTTAAATTCAAGTCGAATAAAGTAATACGCGCGGCGCACACACAATGCTTGCTTTCGTTGAGGCGTTCGTGTGTAGTGCGCGCGCACGCGCTCGTGTTGGTGCGCTGGGTAGGTAGGTAGGTAAAGAGCGTGTAAGGAGAAATTGCTGGCCTTGTTACTTGACCTAGAAACTGAAGCGAGGCATAGATGCGATGCGCGACGCGCGCGCTCGTTCGCCGTCCGTGAACAACGACGTGATGTCGTCCGCCTGCTTATAAGGCGTTCGCCGCGCTTCAGCTTACTTTACACACAAGGACGCCGCGCGCAGCTTTTTACTTTTCGCATTTTTGCACAAAACGCACAACACATGCTTCGACTATTTTCTTACCACTGATGATAATGATAATGATTCATCACACTTATGACAACTGTTTGTACCTCCTACATATTATTTATATTTACATATTTTTAACTTCTTTTTCTTCCGCCTTCGAAATTCTTTAACGGCATCATCCTAGACAATACATCTTGTACATACATAAAAATCAAATCCAAACTATAACATATGTTTTAAAAAAGTAACCAAACGTTCATCTACATTCGCGCGGCTTCGAAAACACGCGCAAGGTGTGGAAATCTATGTCTCTATGTGTACCAACACGGTACGAATAATGATAAACCAACCGCTGATTGAATATCCTAGAGTCCTAGATGATGACACTGACTTGTCTTCTTCCGCACTTTTCAAATTAATCCGATGTGGTTGGGTGTCTTCAAATTTCTCTCAGCAAATGTCAAAAATGCGAATGATAAATTTAGCACCATTTTAAAAAACGAATCCGGCTAAAATGCGTTTCACTGATTTAGTCTTCCAGTCCGGGAATCGGTGGTTGATTCATCTCCAAACGTGCTCGTTTGCTTTGACTGCCGGGTGGCGGTGATTTGTTACGTTTCAGTGATGGCGGTGGTGGTTCCACCTCGCCCAACATCTCCGCCGCCTTCTTGATGAGATCCTCCTCCGATAGGGAACTGAGAACACCGCCACCGGAAGGTTTAGATTCTTCCGGCTTCAATAATGGCGGAGGTGATGTGAAGGACATCGGAATCGAGGGTACTGGCGAATCGGCAGCAGGGGATCCACTGGCGACCGTTCGCGCGTTCAACTTGGGAAGCATCAAGGGTATCGTCAAATCAGTCGAGGATCCACTCAAAGTCATACCGGGTGTTTCGGGCTGAGAAGAACAAATAAATAAAATTACAATGAATACAACTACAATTGATTATTTTATGAAATTTATATGTACCTGATATTCTGGGGTGTCTCCTTTACTACCTATACTTTTAATACTCTCCAAAATCTGTTGTAAATTGCTAGGTAGCGCAATGTTTGCAAGACTCGTCGACTCCAAATCTGAACTGCCGCTGGAACACACCAGGTCCTTGGAGACTTTATCGATTTCCGCCTTTTGAGCAGCAATCTTCTGATCCAATTCGGCCATTTTTTGTTCCAGTTCCAGACTGTTGGATGGTAATGAAGGTGTAACTACATCCAAACCTAAATAAAAATGGCACAATAACAAAAAAGTTCAAAACTTTTTACAAAAAACAAATCTAACCTGGTATTCCTTCAAATTTATTTGTAAACGGTTCAAAGTTTGCTGGCATGCTAGTAATACCAGTATCCAAGAAGGAACTTCCTTTAACACCTCCGCTAAGCAAACTACTTAAATCCGAAGAATTCAACTGTTTGCCCGGTTCCTGAATTGAATCAGGATCCGAATCCGCAGGCGAATACGGTTCATCCATATCCTCTTCATTTTCCTCGGGTACATCAACGGCCGGCACGGGTAGTTTCACCCTTGGATCAACCCTCGGAATAGTTGGTGGAGGAGTATAGGAGCGTGATGTCGAAGGAGGCGGCGGAGTACCACCGCCCCGATTAGTAACTATTTCAACTCGTACTCGTTTCGCGTTACTATGCGTCGGCGTATCCACCGTTCTCTTGCGTTTGTCTCTTACAATCACACCCACAAGTAAAGATGGTCGCCCTTCTTCAAAACCAGGTCCGGTTAATGGCAACAATGCCTCGGGGATAGCACTATGTGCGGTCAACGGAAGAATATAAAAGTCCTTCACGCGTTTATTCACGCATTTCACCACCCCGAGACGCTGCCGAATCGACAGATACGAATACAACGAAAGGTAAGCGTTACGTTCTTCCATTGTGGTCGCCGTTAACCTCAAAACCGATATCGATTTACTGTTCGACGTCTTCATTTTGCCAATGTATTCCCACACTGTGGTCGGCGAAATACGACCGACAATATCTAAAGATTTCGGTAGTTCTTCGCCGAGTCCGGCACAATCGCCTGTCACTTCGTACGCATTGATAGCAATGTGCGCGACATCTATCATGTTGATTGCGCCTTTCCACAAGGGTTCTTGTCCCATGGGCTCTTCTGGAATCGTTTTTTGTGATTCCTTTTCGGGTTCTTTTTCAAGAATTTCCACCGCATCGGGTTTCTTTGACGAATCATCAGCTTCAGGAACTCGGGGAGGTGTTGGTATCGTTACCGTAGAACTGGGTTCGTGATCACTATCGCTCTCAGGCAAGGAAGGCGGTGCTACCGGTTCAATAACTGGTGTTTGCACAACTTCCTCTGTCTTCCATAATTTATCCTCCAATGGCGGTACAATTTGCTTATCAACGAGTTGCTCCAAAATCTCCTTCGATTTTTTATCCAACTTCTCAGTGTTGATAGTCTTTTCTTTCTTCTCCTCTTCCTTCTTATGCCTGGAGCTTTTATGTCGTCGCTCTCTGTCCCTATCTCGGTCTCGATGTCTATCACGACTCCTGGATCTTCTTCGATCACGATCTGAATGTCTAGATCGGTCCCGACTCCGTGAGCGTTTCTTCCTATCCCTGTCTTTACTTTTACTGCGCTGCTTATTGTCCTTCTCCCGACTTGATTTCCTGTCCTTATCCCGGCGATGTTTCTTTTCTTCATCGTCTTCCGGTTCCGGCAACCCACCGGCTTCTGGTACTGGATTCGCTAGGACATCACCGACTGCATCCTTAGCGCGATCGTCCTCGAACACAGTTTCGCCCTTGTGAGTCTTGAATACATACTGCCTGCTGCAGTTCAACAACTCCAGCTCAGACTTCTTAATCATATCCAGTTGATGTTTAGTTTCACGCTCTCTCCAGAGCGCCAACTCTTGACTGGCGAGATCATCATGCGATAGTCTTACTAATTGATACGGATTGACAGACTTTTCGCAAATTCTTCGCCAAAGCGTCTGATTTTTCGGGTCCTTAATGTTAAATATTAAACTTCTGTATTTGTTGCGATACTTTTGGCCAGTATCAGCAAAACACCTATACAATTGAGACTCGATTTCATCGGAAACCTCCTTTAGTTCATCATCGGACAACTTTAAATCTTCAACGTTCTTCAGACGATTCGATAATTGCTCGAAGAATGTCTTCCGTACAGTTTCGCGTAGATTTTCTTGTTTTGGTTGATGACTTGATTCAGCCGCTCTTGCCCTTGGTGTTTTTTGCGGCACAACTGGTTCTTTTTTAGCTACTGGTGTCGTTACTTTAGCCACAGGTAGTTTATTAAGCACCTTTTGTGGAGCTGTTGATTGCGAAACTTTTAGTTTTGGCTGTTCGTCACCAGAGCGTTGTACCTGTAATGTGCTCTGTTTACTTACAAGTTTTAAACCTGGAATCGGCGTACCCTGTTTGTTCTTCACCGACGCGTTAAGAATGACAGGTTTATTATTCGATTGTGCTTTCGGTAAATGCGGTAGAACACCAACATTGACACCCTTTTTCTGTACGGCCAATGAAACGCCTTGATTCCCTGTATTTTTAATGATTTTCAGTTTGGATTGCGTTAATTGCCCGCTGGTGGGTTTTGTCACTTTGGCGACAATCTTATCAGACGATCGCACGGCTTCATAGGCAGGATTTTCCGATAACCATTTGTCTAAGTTGGCAGCACTGGGCGCTTTCGTGCCCGTCAAGAGTTGACCGGTTTTTCTGTTAAACACAATCACCTTTTCCACACCTTGCGCATGTTTTAAAATGCATTGGTCACTGCAGTAAATCGAACTGCTTCTCGAAGGTTTCCCACAGACAACGCATCCTGGTTTTTTGTCACTCGTCGGTACCGCCGTATTTGCGTCTTTTGTTTTCTCGCGTTCCGGTTCCTTTACTGTAGAAGAGTCTTTTCTGCCTGTACTGACGCGATTTTTCGATATTGTTGTTGTTGTTGAAGATGTTTTACTGGCATTAGATTGTTTCGACTTGACAGTAGAGGCACTGCTCTCAGTCGAAGTGCGCGAAGCTTTCCGCATGCGGCGAATCGCAGCCGCGGGCCTCTTAAGCGTTGGATCCTTACAATATACGCACATCCACTCCTTCCCCTGTTGCTCCATTGTGTGACCCATTGCCTTTGTCACATTGACGCATTTGCCATGATACCATTCTTCGCAAGTATCACAGCAGATCATAAAGCGATTATTGTGGGGTTGGTTACAGATACACCACAATTTATTCGGATCGTCGTCGGACTCGGCGTCCTCGTCTTCATCATCTTCCTCTTCTTCGTTTGCGCTGGAATCCAGCTCTTCGCCGGACACGTGCTGATCGTCCAGTGGTTTAATAACGGGTCTATTAAAAAACATTAACAATATTATAAATAAAAACCGCAACAATTTCAATTTAATTTCAAAAAAATACTTACTTTGGCTTAGATGGAGTTGGCGTAGCCGCGGGGGTTTTCTTGTTCCGACTCCTTGTTGTCGGGCGCTCAATCGGAGGAATCACGACGATTCTACCATCCGGGCGCACAATTTGCGTTCCTCCGCTGACAGTATTCGTTTGCGACGGAGAATGCACATCGGACTGCGGGAAATATTCACACATTTACAAATCAACCCACAAAGAAGACAATCATTCGGCAGAGGCAAGCAAAATTTCAAATATTCCCGCCGTACAAATTTTTCACCTCCCACCTACTAACCTTAAATTTTTAAGGTTATCGTCGAACACACATGCCAAACGCACGACAACAACCCAAAATAAAATAACGAAAACAACAACACATAAATCGAAAGGAGGATTTCATTATATCACAATAAGGTTTAATTATGACGACCTGTCATTTGGTAAAATTAAGTATATTTATATAGATATTTACCTGCTGCAATTCACCAGACAAACCCTGACTTGAGTCAGGCTCACTAGCCGCAGACACATTCAAACTGTCTAGCACATCATTTGCATGTAAGTGACTCGCGGTGCCCGCGTCAAGATCAAGATTGCCGTCCGTCAACGATTTGTCAATGACATTTTGCAACTCGGTGTTGTTATCAACCAGTGACTGCGCCACCTGATACAGGATATCCTCCGATATAAGATCTGTATTAATATTATCCAAGATACTCTGGTCCAGGTCCAAAGCAGCAGCATCAATATTCATGCTGGCGTTGGGGTCGTCATGCTGGTCGGGCTCCGCTTCCGCCAGTACGGATGCGATGAATGGCTTGTTACCCTCGGAGTGGATCATTGTGCGGATATCTTCGGCGCTTGGCAGTGGCTCAAGTTGATCTTCATTAATAGACTCATTCGATTCGGAGAAGTCCGTAACGGACACCTGCTCTTCCTTAGGTCTTACATCTTTCGTCGGTGAAGGTGGAGATGCAGTTGGACTTCCAACTGGAGTTTTCTTTGTGTCTTTGTTATCGAGACTCAGTCGGCGCGAAACTACCGTCCGTTCATCCATACTCTGACGCTTCTTTTCCGAATTGGACTTTGAACGGGAATCTGGCGAAATTTTTGCCGGTTTTGACGCGGATGGTGAAGTCGCTGTAGGCGACTTCTCCGCATCTTTACCAACCCGTCGGATTATATCCGGCGTTGAAAACAGCGCCATGTCATCGGGCATGGGTGCATTTTGTTTAACCTTTTTGTCTTTTTTAGGTGGCGAAAGTATTAATTTCTTATCATTACTTGGTGTTGACACAGTCTGACTTTGTTGACCTGCTGTTGTTGTAACTGTCTTTTGCACTGATTCCTCTTGCGGCTTCACTTGCGCTTTTTTCTCTTCAATTACCTCGACTTTTTTAACTGGCTTTGTTGCTACCTGATTATTTATAGACGGTTTAGCCGAAACATCATTTTTAATTGGTTTTGTTTGGTTTGCATCCACATCAGTCTTCACCACTTGCTGGGGTGTTGTTACAGTTGTATTGGTTGGAGTTACAAGTAGTTTAGGTTTCTTGAACACTTTCTCCGTGGCCTTTTCCTTCAACAAACCTGCATTAATCATCCGCTGTTTCTCCTTGCTGTTAACGAATATCGTCTGTTTGCGGCCGTTGACAATCTTTGTGATTTTCGTGAGTGGTTCATTGGTGAGTTGGGGATCAAGACTGCCATCTTCAAGCATGCTGAGGGTTTGCGCCAAATCATCAGCCATATCAATTCCGGCCGGAACATGAGACGGTGATGTGAATGGTGTGTAGTCATGATCCATTTTGAAGTTGTATAAGGTCCTAGCTATTTCACTCATCTCGCGTGGATCTACAATAAATGCGCGTTTAGAATAATTTGCTTTTGAGTTGAATAATTAAGCAATGACATACCATCCATTTCATCTTTATTTACATATGTTAAACTATCCATGATGATATTAACTTCACCAGCATCAACTTTCTTCATTGTCATTAGATTAATATCCATACTTGCACAATTACCTACAAACAACATGAAAGGTTAGATTTGTTTCTGATGCTGTGTAGTGTTACTTACTTAATATTTGTTTGACTGTTTCCTTGTCAGGGGTGACAGAGCCATCAGGCCTCACCAGCAGTGTAAGTGGTTCATTAGCATTGTCTTCAATTATACGAAATTTACTGCTAGACATGCTGAATGCCCAAAATTAATAATTCTGAAAAGTAGAAAATATGAATGAATAAAGTGGTAAATGCATCTTGGGTTGAGTGTATATGCTCCTCAAGCTCAAATATATCACACCACGCCAAACGAATGATTGATGATATTTTCGTTCCGATATAGATGCACATAGTATTTTTATACCTAAATCAACAGCGTCGGGTAATCCACGATGGTCACATTTGTTCGTTTGTTGGGCGTCACTGTCGACACGCGGTGATCGCCTCCTGGACGATCAAATGCACTTTCCGAAACGAATCGATCACAACAGCATATCACACGCGGGTCGCTGGACTGCGGACGCCGCTGCGACGGGTTTGCGGCGTTTCGCCGACGATGCGAGCGTATTATTGGTCGGTGTCGGCACGAGCGGGTTTCGTTCGCAAACGACGCCTTCGCCGAAACGCGCGCGATGCGCACACCACGCACGGATAATCCTCACTTGCGGCGCGGAGTTATCGCCCCGCTGGGCGCAATTGCGAACATCCTGCTTCACCAACGACAATGCGATACCTGGATATGCCTCGATTTTGCGTGCGAAAACGCGCGGCGTACTTTGGGAGCGATTGCGGAAGGGCATCGGGCGAACGACTAGCATTGAGTTCCAAACGTCAACGACGCCACTACAGCGATCGGTATTACCGACATTACAGGAATCCGTAATGCGTTACCGACATTTAATGTATGGTGTTTTCTAAAAACGTAAAGTTTTAAAACTTTAAACGTTTAAAAGAAGGATTGTATCACAGCAGAAACAAAAAAGCATTATTTAAAATAAGTTAGTTTCATGATATTTCAATTGATAAAGTTGTGAAACCTGATGCAAGTAAAGTCATTGTGTAATTATTCGGAGTTTCTGCGGTTCTTGCAATGTCACCTCTGTCAGAATCGCAGAAAGCGCGCGGGGGGGCGTCGCAGGATGCTAGCAGAGAGCACGAGCAGGGAACGAGTGCAGAGACGGACGCGACGGACGCGCAAAGATATAAAAAAGATCATGTCGGGAGCGTCGTCGACGGTAGGCAAGCAGCGGGCGGTGTAGGCGCAGCCGGGTGCGCGTCCGGCGCGCGGAATGAGCTATTACACAGCGGCGGGCGTGGGCGGCCCGAGCAGCGGCGTCTGTGGCGGCAGGTACGGTGGCGGCAACATTTCTCCCGTCGAGGAGGAATCCACCGACGGCAGCGATGAGGAGACGGAGCCGGCGAGATCGTTTCACCGCCGTCTCTCCACCAATCGAGATATCCAATGTTCGGTATGTGCATTCCTGCCTGCCGTTTTCGAGGGCGTTATTTGCGTACATTTTGAATTGGCTTTTGATATTTTTATCGCCAGTGCGGCGCTCCGATTCGTCGTTGATTCGCATGAGTTTTCGTTAAAAAGCAGTTGTACAGTTGTTGTTGCTGTTGATGTGTGTTTGGTTGTTTCTTTGGTCATTGGTCTTCAAAGCAAGAGCTTCAAAAATGATTCGTATCGATCGAGTTTGAATGCAATAGTTGCTTTTTAAGTTATTCCTGTAATTGTTGGACATTTGTTGTTCATTCGCCATTCGCTATTCATCAGTGTTCCGATTGTAAATGAGTTCAATTTGTTTCATGGCGTGTCGTAAAATCGTAGTGGCGCGTTCTCATTTCGAGCGCACGTTGCCTTTGTGATGTAAGTGTGCGATCGATTTCCCGTGCATCCGCAGGTGGTTGGCATGTTGTTTGGGTTGCCTATACTACAAACCAACAACGAACATTGTTCAAACAATATCACTGTGAAAATAATCAAATTGCGCACATTAATTTCTTAAAATATCCTGGGGGACGTGACATTAACACTTTCATCCATTAGTAATTAATTAATTAATTAAAATTTGAGTTGCGATATTTTCAATTGAATTTGCTTATTAAATTGTTCTTTGTGATGTGTGTTGCCTGCAATTATATAAATTGTTATTGTCTTAAAATGAAATAAAATAAAACCTCATCATATGTACATAATCAAACTAATAAAATATGTTTTGTAACTTTTTCTGACCAAATTATAATGTTTTTCTTTGCAAATCATAATGTATAACACTTATTCATTTATTTAATTACTTAAAACAAAACAAAACAGCAAAAGAATGTTTTCACACGTTCCACTTACCCTTATTGGTAACACCGGGGCGTGAGAACTCATCTGGGAGTCATTTGCTGAATCCAGCATTGTTTTTTGGGTATTCTAGGCTTCGCTAAAAGAAGGCTACCTGTTGAAGCAGACGTGGTCGTTCCAGCGATGGCGTCGACGCTACTTCAAGCTCAAAGGACGCAAGCTGTACTATGCCAAAGATACAACGGTAAGTTGCACACTTTTCCTTCGAACGCACCTTCAACTTGCTGAACAAATGTCGTGGGAGTTGACAAACACTTGTTACGCGCTCGACACATGCTCGTGTGCGTCTCGCAATTATTTATCATCATCATCATGCGCGGCTCTCAGAATTTGCAGGCCTCAATAAACGCGTCTAGACGTGCGATGAGGTCAACGCCAAGCGACCACAAAGCGCGCTTTTCTCGCCTAATGGCTGGATGCGGGATGCGGTTGAATGTGCGTACGTCGTCCTGCCGGACAAAAACACCTCAGACGTGCGATGCTTCTTGGTCCTGAATCGGGTGGGCGTGGTGTTGCGTTGGCGCAAAAATCTAAACCAACAACCGAAGCCGCATGGCGTTAATGAACAAACACGTCGGTCGGTCTATGCCGACGTGTTTTAATGAGTAAATTCACGCACTCCGGGACTCGATATTGTTTTGTCTACAAACAATTCATCAGGTTAATGTACCACAAACGATTTATTTCTAAATTGGTGTTTTTTTATCTGTACAGAAATTGTTCCATAGTTACTTATCTATACTATAAAAATGAATTGGAAAATCTGTTAGTAAGCGCATAACTCAACAACGCCTAGACCAATTTGGCCAATTCTTTTTTTAAAACGTTCGTTAAAGTCTAAAGATGGTTTTTAGGGCGAGAAAAATTTGAATAATTTCCGGGAAAACCCTTAAGACAATCATAGTTATATCATCATAGTTATAGTTAAATAGTTGAATCCGAGATGGTGCGCTGAAGTGCATTATTAGCAATTCTTTATATAATTAATTTCATTAAAATAAAATTGCGAATCTTATTGATAGAATTGACACATACTATGTTTAGAACAAAAGAGTAAAAACGAATTACATTTTTATTAAACACTACTGGGTACTATTTTTCAACAAAAGTCAAAAGTCGAGACGTGAAATGACGAATTTCCGATTACACATGGCATACAATTTATTTCACACTCCAATAATATAATAAATAATCTAAAATTAGAGAGTAACTTACATATTTAAATAATAATATCGAAATCCGTAATAAGCTATCAACCAGTTACCAAACTTCAATTTAAATATAATAAGCAAAAAATTAAATGAATACAATTCAATATTTTGGATTTTAATCAAGCCATATTTATAGGTTAATATATCTGAAAATTGTGTATATAAATAACGATTATTTGCGTATTATTATTAGTAGAGCAATTCTCGTCGCAATTGCAACACCAAGATGAAATTAGCAGTGATTTCTTGTATTCTACTGGTGTTTTTACTTCTTGAAACAAACGGACACGTTCGCCACCAAGGGCAATGGTATAGCAGAACCAGAAGCAGCTGGAGAGGCGGCGGCCGCATAGGCAGAAGCAGAAGCCGCGTCAGTAGCATCAGCAGCTATAAAATGTATCGTGTCACTCAATTCTGGGCACCGAAATATGGCAATTATTCTCCATTCCGGCGCAAAAGCAAATGTGGTCCAAATTCCACGGGAAGAAAGTGTTTTTCACCTACCTTTAATATCCATTTATTTGGATAGTTTAGATTAAAGAATGGCACTGACCACTTTTTGTCGCATGAAAATAACTATAAAGGTGCAAAATAAGTAGGTTTGAAGTTGAAACAATACTTTATTTTACCACAATTTTTTACTCCAAGATAAATTTCCTTTTATTTGATCAGAATTTTGAATTGAGATTAATTCGCAGCGTTTTAAGCATTTTTAAAGCAATTTTTAACATTTTATGTCTTTATGTGCAGTGTGTATCGTATTATTGATGAGTATATTAGGTAATAATTTACTAAAAAGTAATTAGAAGTATTAAAACTTATAATAATGGTATTTTTACTCATTTATTCCGCTCTAAGAGCATTAAAGCATGCTAGAAGAAGCGTGGACCAGGAAATGAAACGATAATTCTCTTGTGGCAGCCACAAAAATGTTTTTTGGTTCATTGTTCCATTTTAGTATCATTTATAATAAGTTTTGATTGATACAGTAAAATGGTATTACAGTTAAGTTTTGAAATCAAACCAAGGTTTGTCCGGTTTTACGTGTTTTTTTTTAAAGATTTAATTAATTTTCCTCTTGAATCACTTCTGTTTTAATAATACTTTAATTAAGTTTTTATTTCACCAAAGAAATATATTGGATAACTATTTATTTCCATTTTTATGTGATTTGAGGTGTTACATAGTTTTTCCATAGTTGTATAACACAAAAAGCACTGCTTTTAACACGGACGGCCTAGGCCGAAACTAAAGTACTTTAGTCACGGGGTTGAGCCTGCACCAACCCTCGCTACGCTCACTCTCAATCAATCTCGTGCGTAATGCCTTCGTTTAGCTACTTGCTACTTAATATACTATTAATATTGCATTATTTAATTTAATGTCAACATAATAAACATTTTTACACGTAAAATTCATAAATATCACTTTGATGCTGGCAGAAGCTTAATTATTTAATAAAATAAGTCCCTTATATTAGCTTTTGTGGACGAATAAAGTGGATTCACATTTTCTTTATAACTTGATGCTAAAAATAGCAGAAAACATGAAATTTTCACCGTATATACACCCGCAGTTATTTTGGAGAAGCATCCTAAAATCCAATTTAAAGCTCGTCGCAAACCCGAAACATTGGAATCACCGTAGGCAACCACACCCACTCACCAACACATGTGCACGCATAGAGGGCCGACCTCTCTACTTTTGTTGACGATGTCAACAGAATTATTCACTTTTTTATCAGTGGCGTCGCTACATATATTAAAAGGCAAAAAAATTAAATTTTGCAAAACATCAGGAAATTAAATGGAAACTATAATATAAAAAGAAATCGCAAAATTTGATGGTACACGCATAACTCAACATCACCTAGATCAATTTGGTCAATTCTTTTTTTTTAATGTTTGTTATAGTCCAAGGATGGTTTATACGGCGAAAAAAATTCGAATAATTGCCGGGAAAACTCTAAATACAGTCCTTTTCTATAGGATAAAAGTTAGCATTGAGATTCAATCATAGTCATAGTTAAATAGTTGAATCCGAGATGGCGCGCTGAAATGCATTATTAGCAAATCCTTTATATAATTAATTTGGCAGTCTTGACTTCAATGATGCTACGGCCGTTCCTTGAAAATACCCTATTAAAAAACTATGTCCTTTTGAACTTGTGGACCTTAACACATTACATATTCTTACTATCCGGTAGCTACGCCACTGCTTTTTCTGCTTCAGTGACCTAATGCCTTTGACCTTTTGATACTTGCACTCGCATTGAGTTAAATCATCACTCAGCGAATTTACGAGCACCATCCGACCTAGATTTTTCTCATAAAAACACCACCATCAAGCAATAACGTACGATAACTATTAAAAGATGAGAGACATCTCGCAAGAAATTGCATCTATGTTTATTTCACCTTCACCCAAGATGCCAACAAAGTAAAAAATACATTTCGAAACGAAATAAATTTGTAATAATCCAAAAGTGCACACTTTTGGAACGTTATAACATGCAATATCACATGATACATACTTATCCAAAATTGTTCGCATTGTGCACCAAATTCAAATGCCTCTCGAAACGAGTCATTTCGTTCGGAAACGGTGAAAGCGCACAAGAGCGGCATCCGCAATTGGCTCGCCCGAACCGATTGCTATTTGCAACAAACGAGAAACGCGGCAAACTTTACTTTGTATCTATTCGAAAGTTGAATACGCAGGGTTTTCGTTTTGTGTGCGTTACGTTTTTCTATTACTTGCGAACGGAAAAATGGGGAAATTGATTTTGCTTCAGTATACACACACACATATACACCCCCATCATACGTATAAGATACTCTTAAGTGTGTGTGTTTTCTTTTCTGCCGCACAAAGTATGATAGAAAGGTACGTACAGCGAACAACCCGAAGCTAGCAATCTGGAAAAAATTGTGATGTCATAATATCACGTTTGAGGTGTGTGCGCTGTAAAGCAAAGTCGAGTCGGGGTGCTTTTAAGGTTTTAAGCATCAAAGTGATTTTTCCACTCTGAAAACTTTAAAATTAGCACTATGAATAATTTCGTAGCGAATGCAGGCACGTGCGCAAAAATAGTTTGCTTATTTTTTTTTGTTTTGTGTTATCGCAAAAGCATCCGAACAATTCATCGGCGCGATGCGAAAATTCTTTGCGCAAAAATGCGCGCAAAAAAGCAAACAAACGAAACGTTATTTTAGCATTCAGATCTCTATTGATTTTATAAAAATAGAGAATAATATTTTTCTTCAGCACTAGTGTTATTTTACTGTTTAGTCTAAACTAAACAATGTTCAACTTCTTATAACAAACAGGAAGCACCTAAGAAAATAAAGTATTTTTCTAAGAATATTCTATCAACTTTTCTAGGTTATATTAGTTTTATCTGATGGCGTACATCTTGGATTTCAAATTTACAAACTTTTTTTAATTGGAAATTGTATATTAAGTAACAAGTGGCTTTAACAACGTTTAGCCACGAGGTGCTTACGCTATTTTTTCTACTTCCATTCTAGTTCCACGTTGCGGTTTTTGTATTTCAACTTTTGTATTTTAAATCATAGAAATTTGCTCGCACACTTAAACAAACTGTAAGGTTATAAGTAGAGTCCGACCGAAACTGAATTTTAGCCGAAACCGAAACCGAAATTTCGGCCCTGCAATCAGTGTCGGCCGAAACCGAAACCGAAACTAATTTACATAAACATATTTTTCTACTTTTACCTATACATCGCCAGTTTTTTCACGTTTTTTTAGATACATAATCCATTTCGGGAGTAAAGTCCTCAGTTAGTCACTGGATACTTAATTTAGTATTAATATGAGCGAACTAAGATGGCAAGTAACGACCGCCATTAGCCGCGAAGTTAGCCGAGCGACGCACGACAATTCACGAAAAGTCCGAAACCGAAACTGAAGCCGAAACTCGATTTCTTGGCCGAAACTGGCCGAAACCGAAAACGAAACCGAAATTTCGGTCGGTCTCTAGTTATAAGTGCCATGCCGCGCGCCGGCGCATGTGACGCTTCGGTTCATATCGTGCCCCTTCGATACGAGCAGCAGCAGCGCCTCTTTTAACGTGTTTGACAGACGTCGCATCATACCGCCTTGTGCTGCTCTGTAGGCAAATGCGCAGGCGCTTACTCCGTCCCGTGCATAATGCAAGTACATAATGATTATTATATACGGCTTGGCCGTTCGTATATAAAGTACCACTTTTTGTGTCTAAAAACCATGGAAAAACTAGCACTTTATAGATGGAAGTAAAAAACCATTTTATGAGCGTAGAATCTGTGTTTATGAGTTTGAATAAAAAAAAAATAAAACACTTTGATTGTTGCTTTCCAAAATCAAAACATTTTTGTGCGAATCTATCGGAATTTATCATTGTTAGAATTTATGGTTTAATTATATTACAAAGCGTTCTTCGCGTGACTGGTTCGCCAAAAGCGCAATATCCGATTGATTTGTTCGCCTAGGTTCTAGTCAACCTTAACCACGCTGCCGCCGCCACGGCTGCCGCTGACCCCGGAGATAGAATGCGTACGTTAAAGGCATGTGTAGCGTGTAGGGCTTTCCTTGTCGGGATCCCAACGCCGGCACGGCGGCACATAACAATGACCCGCATTAAATTAACGCGAACCTGATTAAATTCATCCGACGCAATCTGCTCACCGTTGGATATGGCTACATGAACGGCGCATTAAACTTTTTGAATTAAAATTTTTAATTTATCTTGAATATTAACCAGCAAACAGGATACGCTATACGGGTGGTAATCAATGTGAATGAGGAGTACATAACCTGCAAACTTGAATTAAATTATTACATGCGTGTTTCGATGCGACATGAGGAAATTGTTTATTTTGGCTTCAATTTTTGGGCCAAAATATGAGAATATTTTTGCAGATACGTTACGATTGAATTAAATTGTGTAAAACTAAATAACTACAAACTATTTCTCGACGGGAATATCAAAAATAGCAGAGGAAACAAATATTTCAATTTGTGAACCGGAATTTCAAAAATTTTACGTGAACAATTTATTTTCGCTCGTTTCGGCCAAAACGAAAAATAAAACTCAGAGACACACATATTTTGGAGTATATTTGGGAGCGCATTGCAAAAAAAACCTTTTCGGGTTTAGCTAGTCAAAATTATTTTTTCTTTTTAGTGATTGATGGCAGTAGTTGAAATACAAAATACAAAAATTTGTTCAGATATTTAGTAAAAAAGCAATTTTACTAAACTTGACTTACGAACCAAACATTTTCTTTTTATTTAGAATAAAAGTGGTTGATAAGACACTGAATCTCCATGATAATTTATATCTATAATATAAAAATGAATCGCTAAATCGGTTGGTAAGCGCATAACTCAACAACGCTTAAACCAATTTGGCTAATTCTTTTTTTAAATGTTCGTTTACGTCCAAGGATGGTTTTTACGGCGAGAAAAATTTGAATAATTGCTGGGAAAACCATAAAGACAGCCCTTTTCTATAGGCTAAAAGATGGCATTGAGATTCAATCATAATTATAGTTAAATAGTTGAATCCGAGATGGCGCATTGAAGTGCATTATTAGCAATTCTTTATATAATTAATTTCTTTAAAATAAAATTGCGAATCTTAATTGACACATACTATGTTTAGAACAAGAGAGTAAAAACAAATTACCTTTTTATTTAACACTACCGGGACAGAGTCGCGGGCAAAAGCTAGTAAATTATAAAACAAACCAAACAAAATCAACTTCCTGCAACATGTTTCACCACACAGAATATTTTCTTTGCATGTTCCCCTAATGACTACAATATAAATATCAAACAACAACCAATCTTACTGATTGTGAAACGTGTGATACAAGTTTCTGCTCGTTGTGGTTAATTTAGTAGAATCGTTAGCGCAGCGACAGGGTGCTGAATCAGCGAATTGGGCGAGTTTCGAGATTCGTGAATTAATTGTCACGCTTCAGATTCATGCCGGGTTATCAAAAGAGGCACTAATTAAACGCAGCTCGCTGCGACTGAGCGAGCATATAATGATTTTGTGATTTCATGTGCTCTATGATGATATCCTTGTAGTGCTTTGCCGAGTTTGACGCGTTTGTAACGCTTGCATACTGGCAAGCAAATATGTAAACGTTAGTTTGTAACGGTTGTAACTGCAATTAACTATTACTGATTGCAGACGGTCGTAGGTACACTTGTGTTTGATAGATTGCATGAATATGTGGCGATATTTTAAATGTTTGACTGTGAATGTGGTTGCCTACTGCGTTTGATGCCATTATCGTCCTTGAAAGTCCAAACCATACGAATAATTTAATAATGCGTGTGATGGGAGCCATTCGCAATTAGTCAAATGGTTTAAACGGATTTGAATTTGTGGAAATTGAATATGCATGGAATCAATGTGGAGAATATAGGAAATACCTAGTTTAGAGTTGTAGTTCTGTTAATAATGAAAATCTAGAAATAGATTAAAAGAAATGTTATTTTGGGCATAATCGACCTGTAACTCTATAACAAATATGTCTATAGTTGAACATGTGCTGTTATATTATAATCAATTAATTTTAATTGCTCAACACTCAAAAAAAAATGATATTTTGCTTTGGATCACTAAAATATTAAAATGGAAAAATAATTATTGTTTGATACAGTATATTTGCCAAAGCTTATAATATTTGCATTTAATAATTTTCTGGATATTTCAGTTTTATTGAAAATGATTTTTGCACTTTATCTAAAAAGATTGAATTATGCTACATATGAATAAAAATAGCAAATGAAAATACTTAATATTTTTGAAATTTTGCAAATTTCATTGTTTTTTCAGTTTTTAGACATTATTGAGGCAATATTATGTGAAAAACAAGTAGTTTTAGTTACATTAGTTAAATTCTCTTAATAAGATTTGCAATTTAATTTTAAAGAAATTAATTAAATAAAGAATTGTTAATAATGCACTTCAGCGCGCCATCTCGGATTCAACTATTTAACTATAACTATGATTGAATCTCAATGCCAACTTTTATCCTATAGAAAAGGGTTGTCTTTATGGTTTTCCCAGCAATTATTCGAATTTTTCTCGCCGTAAAAACAATCCTTGGACTTTAACGAACATTTTAAAAAAATAATTGGCCAAATTTCTCTAGGCGTTGTTGAGTTATGCGCTTACCAACAGATTTTGTGATTCATTTTTATATTACAGATTTACTAAAAAAATCGCGATTTTTTCTTTAAAAGTTTTTTTTTTAATTTTTCTTTCTTTCTTTTTTTCAAATGTTAAAAATGTCCTTTTAAATGCTGACCTAGAAAATTCCTACATTTACTGAAAGAATATTTAACTCGTCTAAATTCAATGTTCAAAAAATCCGTGTGTGTTTACTACGAACCGAAATAAGTCAATTTCTATTTAATACCCTTATACTTGCGGAAAACCTTTGTGCAATGAATCCGGTTGCAACCCTTTTGCTCGGAAATGTGCTTTGGAAACGTCATGTTCTTTCGAATCGATATCTAAAAGCTGTTCTTGACAACAGTATTTGCTGGTAGTTTACGCATAAGTCTATAAAACTAAACAGAATTTACAAAAATAAGGTTTTACTGCAATCATATAAAATTTACATAACAAAAATATAAAAGCACTTCTACTACTTGACCGTATTTATAGATTTCCCTAGTATAGAAAATTCTCGGGAAAAATAAATCATATAAACGTATGATTCGTACTCAATGCAAATGCAAATCATTAAATATAAAATCCAGGTGCCGTTACATTCGTATGAGTGACACTTCCTTTCATCCTCATTTCATCAACTCACGCCAGAATTGTTACGTCGGCGACGAACGCAAGGCGCGCAAAGAAGTAAAATATCAAGCGACATTGGTGTCGTTCTCGTTTACATCAGCGTCCTCCACGTTTTCCGGAGCTTCATTTTGCGCGTCGTGTTATTAACGAGGAGGACGTACTTGTACGTCACGAGAAAACGATGAATCAGACGTAACGCTCGTCGTTCGTCACTCGACGGTCACGTGCCCAACATTCTCCGCTTTCAACGTTTTAATTCGCCTCGATTTTACATTTTGCGTTTGGCATTTATCACCGACTATTTTTCCGATTCGATGCAACCTGGCATTTCTTTTCGCTGAAAAGTGAACAAAACAATACTACAAATAACCCACGGAAGAGTTTATTTCATATTTCTAATTGAAATTGATTTAATGTAATTTGGGGTGTAAGAAAGGGGATATGAAGACATATTACGAGTGGTGGAGATAATATTACCTTAGAGATTTTTACCAAAAATAGGTAGCGTGGTAACTTGCACAATATCTTCTCTTCTACACAGACGAAAATTTAGGCGGTGTGGAACTAAACTAAACTAACCCTACAATACTAATAGTAGATGTTGACGGCGCTTGCAGCGCCATCTACTAGTGAATAAATGAGTTTTAAATGTTTTATCTACAATTTATGGCTATAAGATGTCAGTCTTAGTTACAACATTTATAACTCAAGAACTACTGGACAGATTTTAATGATCTTTGATTTGTTTGATTCGTCTCCTTCCCGAGTAGCATAATAACTAATAAAATATCAAAATTTACGATTTAAAGCGTGTTAAATAAGAGAATAAAGTTGTATTGTAATTTAATCATAGGTATACCTACATAATTGAATTCGAGATGGCGCTAAAGTGCAATATTAGCATATTTCATTTCTTTAAATTAAAATTACGAATCTTATTGAAGGTACACATACTACTCGTAGGGCTTGAACATGAAAATAAAAATTAATTACGTTTTGACTAAAAACAACGAAAACAAAAGCTAAAACTAATGAAAATACAAAGTTTACTCAAAAAATAAATTCTCTTGACTTTTGTTTAATATAAAAATTATTCCAGGGTTAACACATTTAGCTCGTTCGACACGCATTGCTACTATTCCAATTTCCAATATCTCCACATTTATACAACTCTACATCTTCACATCCTTTCAGGAGTTATACAAGTTGGAGTATCGCTCGCTTCTGAAATACGCTTGGGTGCTCCGGTGCTACCACGTGCCCCACCCCTCCTCGCATGCACGCAACCAACCAATCTCCCCTGGTGTGTGTGGTGTGTTTCGGTCGATGTGGGCTACACGCGCTTACAGATGCGGAGCGCGCGCGTGTCCCAGGACAAAATACGTTTTCCCGCTTGTCCCCAACCAACACACGTGGAGCGGTGGATCTGCGGGCGTGCAGCCACGCCGCCATCCGTGTGTGCACAATAGCAAGCACATTGTGGTGTGTGCGCGCGTGCTGTGCGTACGCTCGTACCGATTTTCCACTCCGGCTCGTGGCGCGCCGCCAGTCTGGTTCAGGAGTTCACGCCAACAGCTCCGGCAGGACGACTGCCGCCGCCGCCGGTCGTACAGTCGCTCACCGGCCGTTGGCGCGCACGGACGCGAGCACCACATCAGCGCATCAACGATAACAACAATCAAAAACACGCAATTTTTTATTTTAAATTCGTAAAAAAATTAAATTAAATAAATTCAACTCATATTTATTTATTTATATAAAAACCCAATCACTGATGCTGCAAAAAAAGTTAATCCAATCAACTAAAATTAAAGCAATATCGGAATTGTGTATTCATACTGAAATAAATATATTCGGATAGTAGCGTTAGGTATAATATTGACAGAGTGAGCGTGTTATTAAAAAAAAACTTTATTTCGCGTATCCACAGCCATCAATCACACCGCATTCATGAAGACAACTGACGTGTATCTCGAAGCAGGTAATATTTTCAGTAACATAGACCTAGTTGAAGTGTGTGCAGCTAATCAGTTTCAATCTGCTAATATTAGCATTATTAGCGTTTATTAGATGTATGAGCGCAAGCCGGCGGCATCGGCGTAATAATAGCGTGTGGTTTGACACACATGTGCGCTCTCTACGCGCCTGGATGCTTGCGGGGACGTGCTGGGAATGCACAAGGGTGAAACGGAAGCAATGTGGCATGCGTGGTGGAGGCGCCGGGCATGCCGCACGGTTCAATGCTTTGTTTATGTCCGGTTTTACTATACGCTGACGTGCGTATATTTTTACTAGTTGAGTGCAGAGTTTCATACTATCAAAACAAAACGCTCCTGGTTTATTAAGGTTAATAATAGAACGATATTTTCTTTTATATTCGTGGAAAAATCTAAAATACGATTTTATGCTTATTGTATTTTTCACAAATATATTCGAATATATTTTACAAAATTTTGTATTATATTAAATAACAGCTTGTGTCCGTGACTTTATCCGCGCGGTTTTTAGTAAAAATGTAGTTAATTTTACCTTTTTTTTAAAATCAAAACATAGTATGTGTCAATTTCATCTCTAAAATTCGATATTTTATTTTAAACTAGCTTTTGCCCGCGACTTCGTCCCGGTAGTGTTTAATAAAAATGTAACCCGGGTTTACTCTATTGTTCTAGACATAGTATGTGTCAATTCTATCAATAAGATTCGCAATTTTATTATAAAGAAATTAATTATATAAAGAATTGCTAATAATGCACTTCAGCGCGCCATCTCGGATTCAACTATTTAACTAAAACTATGATTGAATTTCAATGCCAACTTTTATCCTATAGAAAAGGGCTGTCTTTAGGGTTTTTCCGGCAATTATTCGAAATTTTCTTACCGTAAAAACCATTCTTGGATTTTAACGAACATTAAAAAACAAGAATTGGCCAAATTGGTCAAGGCGTTGTTGAGTTATGCGCTTACCAACAAATTTTACGATTCAATTTTAAATCTGTTCAACAATTCTTGAGTTATAAATGTTGCAACTAAACCAACTTTATGTTATACATATAGATATATAGATTTTAGGTTAATTACAATTGAATATAACTGTTATTTTCCAACGGATGGAGTTGAAATTAATTTTGAGGTTAGCCAAATGTCAAAGGTCGCAAATATCAACTACGAAATAGTAAACATATTTGATACTACACAGCTTGTAATATTACCTGTATTTACTTTGCACGCCCAAAAATAATGTCAAGTTCAAATTTTGTTTACAATTTTTTCATTTCCTTTGAGCAAAACAACAATTTATTTCTTTGAGAAATTATTATTAAACGCACAAAGCATTATTACACTTTCAGCTCGAGGTAATTGCTTTGCTGACCTAAGAATGACTTGCGGGCGAAATTGCCAACCAATCAATTTTTGTTTGAAGTGTTTGTACACAATATTATTTTGTTTATTTTTATTTTTTCCTTCCTTTTTGTTTACTTTATATAAAACCCTTTCAGCCACGTACATGTAATTATGTGTGCGTTACGAAAATAATTAACGAACGTTTAATTTATAAAATTAATAACATAATTTTATTTTTCTTTGTTTGAGCTGCGATGCACGACATTTTATTATTTTTTGTTCCTGTTGCATTAATGTTGCTATAGCATTATTTCAGCTTACTCGTGGATAAAATATTTGCTTTTGTTTATTTCGCTTTTGTGCGTTATTTAAAAGCAAATTTGATTAAACACCCGAACGAAGATGATTTAAACGCACAAAAAAGTATTCAACTTAGTAGCTGCGAGAGATGCATTTACTTTATATATCTTTATAAGTGAACCTTCATCAGTTATGTAAACAACGTGCCTGCAATTTCTATTTGGCTTTTAAATATCTAACATTTATATTTTATTTTATTTTATTTTGTACTGGTATTTAGCATTTTATAAATTTTATAAATTTACTAGCTGCTACCCGCGACCTCGTCCGCGTAGATTTTAATGAAAGCTCCCTAGCTAATTGGTTTGTTGTTTCTTGAACCTATTATGTGCCGAGTCGGAAAATAAGATTCTCAATTCCAATTTTAATTTAAATGATAATTATGCATTTTACCGCCAATTCATTGTGAATTCTATAACTATGAAATCGTTTATCCGCCGTGTATATATCTATCAATAAAATTTTTATTTATTGAATTTCAAAAGAATGTTGTTATTTTTTTGCAATTAAAGTGATCTTGTGTTCTTTGCAATGTCCTTGAAAATATGTTTACAAAATTTCAAGACGATCACTTGAGTAGTTTCCACGTTAAAGCGTAGCAAACAAACAAACTTATTTTCGCATTTAAATGCATCCTATTAATAAGAGTTTTCTTCTTGTTCAAAAAATATTTTTATTGTAAAATCAATATTGCAACATTTACTATTCTGTAAAATTATTAATTAAACTGATATCAACTAATATAATTGTAAGTTTGTTATATTGACAAGGTTTACGTAATATGCAAATTACAAACAACGAAAGACAAGAATAGAAAATGTTGGAACTGGCATAATGTTAATTTCAGGCAATTATCATGCATCGCTAAACTTTCACACCCATGTGGAGCATTAGAATACATTCCAACTTAAAATGGTGTTTAAGGACGTGTTACCGGGCTGAGAAGTGGTACCGCGCAGTCGCAATTAAACTATTTTGCCAATATCTACGCATCAAAACATACTGGTACCTATTATTGATTTTCCATTTAACTGCTTCTAATGAAAACAAACTCTTAGTTACCTAATTGAGTGTAATACATTTGATTTAATTTTTATCGTCATTTTATGCAACCAATAATACAAAAATGGAAGATATTTTCAGAAATTTAATTAGCAGATGAAATTGTTTACGTTTTTATTCATAAAATGAATATGATTCATGTTTACTATTGAATACAAACACATATGAAAGGTGTAATTATTAAATTATTCACTGAATGGGGCGAAATCACAACAATATAGAGAAAACGCGTCTGTCGATGAATTCAATCTGCATTTTTTGTTTCGCAGCTCGTGCACGTAAATTTTTTAATATATTTCACGAAATAAAGAATTATGGCCGGATTACGTTAATAATGCACGCACGCCCGGCTCGCAGCTTGCGGTGTTTATTTAGGCGCTGTTTATTTGCCAATAAATTTCGCATAAAGCCGCCGCGAGCGCACACGCCACCCTTGTGAGCCAGCGTGGCCGGAGTGAAGACGAAAATCGTTTGCGTTCCATTAAAAATACCAAAATACCACCTGAAAGCCGGCGCAGAATGCGAACGAAAAATTCGACGCACACCTACGAAATTGTGTGCGTGACATTGACGCAAAGCCCACACCCACACCACCGCACGCACTGGTTGCCCTCAATGGGGCGGTTGCAAGAGAGCGAAACAAAGCCCACGACGGCACAAATGGGAATGGAGAGGAAAATGGAAAATTCTACGCAGAACAACGGTTACATTCATACAAATGGCAACATTTGTTTGCACATAATTGTATTATACAGTGGGTAGCAAATTGTATTAAATTGTTGAATGTATTCTTTACGTAGACAATCAAGTTTGCAC